TAATCAACCCCCAAATTGAGTAAATAGCTTTATCTTCCCAAACCAAAACAAAACTATTAAATAAGCGATATAAACAAATTCTTACTACGTTAATAAAACACCGATTAAAATAAAAATAAATAAACAAATATATAAGACAAGAAATAAAAATAAGAATAAATAAAAACAAGCAAAATAAATTAACCCAAATAAATAAATAAATAAACAAATAAACGACTTCCGGCAAAATAACCGCCAAAATAGACTACCCACTATGCACCACTGACCGATAAATAGCCGAGAAAAAAACACAACACACCTGGCCTGACGATTGCGTCTAGCACGAAACAGCCTGTCGCCTTTAAGTGTTGGCTTCAATGTTCACTTTTATATTTACACAAGCTATATCTCTGATATTGAGCTCTTTATCCCATAAATATAGCACACCTTAAGACTATATTTCTTCATATATATATATATATATGTGTGTGTGTGTGTGTGTATATGCGTCCCTCTGTAGAGGGGAAACCGTCATTAGGTCCGACGTGTTTTAGACCATCTCGGTCGCGAAGTTCGTCGATGACAACAGGCAGTGGTGACTAATGTTTTATAAGCGCAAATGTTTTTCAGACTCACGAAACATGCATATCTACTCCATGGGAGAACATATTTTTCTTTAATAAGACTTATCGAATATTCAGGCCGGTAGATGAAAATAAATAAATATATTGTTTAATAAATAAAAGCATCGTCTACTCAAATATGAGCAGCCGCTAAAAATAACATTAAAAGTTATAAAATCTGTTGGATTAATAAATAAAAATACATCATTCCTTTAGGGAGTTGCTTTGTTTCCATCAGGATACGAAATTGACCAGATATGAATGCTTCGGGTGTCTGAGAAAAGATTTGCGTTTACAAAGCACTATTCACCATTAGCTGATACCTACGAGTGGGCCTGAGCAATTACACAAACGTTTGTATATGAAATTCTGGAGTAGAGGTGCTGAATATAACATCAATAAGCAAAATGAGGAAGTTTATATTTGTATTAATCTATATATATATATATATATATATATATATATATATATATATATATATATATATAAAGGCTCAAACACTAATATTCCATGGTTATAATTTATTACATTGGAATCGTAAATTTTAGTGATAGTGTATACATACACATAGACACATACACTCTCACTAAAAATTTTTTTTTATGCCCGGAGTTATATTTTCGGATTTCTTTTTGAATTTGTAGGTCTGATGAATTGGATCATGATTATGATTCCAATGTAATAAATTATAACCATGGAATATTAGTGTTTGAACCTTTTATATTATATTCTTGCTCTGTCCTAGACATTGAGCTCTACCTGGATTCTATCCTCTTGGAAAATATATATATATATATATATATATATATATATATATATATATATATATATATATATTGATTGATTCAATTCAGCTCATGTGACAGCGTTTCCCCTTACGAGGGGTGATTAATTAATTTGAACCTTTTAAAACCGTTATTCTACAATCTACATTCAACACCATCCCTTGATAAAACGCCATAGGTGTTGAAACAAAATAGCTATTTTTGTAGTGATTTTATAACATATTTATGTTATAATTTTTAAATAAATAATTTTATAATAAATAATATATATATATATATATATATATATATATATATATTACGAATAGCGAAATTTCAGCGTTCAAAACATTAATTTAAAACAGGGCTCAATACAAAAGTAGAGCAATATTTATTATGTACTGTTTCATTAGAACATGTACAAGTCACTATGGAGTATTGATTTCTATATTCACACTGTTTACATCTACAGATGCCCCTTCTCCGATATTGAGCACCCCTCATAAATATATCAGAAATATGAAATAATGTAATTGTGTGTGTTTCCTCTGTTTCTCGTTACTTCGCTGTACGTCACTTTGCTTTTACGAAAAGAATACATTCATACAGTTATTCGACGTATTTTAGAATGACGTAAAGTGAATAACTCATCATTGATTTACATTGAAAATATTTCGAGCATTCTCAGACCCCTCAAAATAGCCTTCTTTTTGCATGTCTGCTTGCATCGATGTCAAAGGTCGAAGTTCATTGACAGTTGTAGTTGACGTGGAAGGCATGAAATACAAAAGTATACTTGACTGCTTCACCTTATGTATTTTTCTATAATACAGTTTTTTGTAGGCATTTAAAACATTTTGCGAATCAACCGTAAACCTATCTGACCTTTTCAAATTAAAGCTAGCATTTTCTGCAATCGTTGCAACACTGTCAATTGTAGTGAAAATCTTATACAATATTTTAGGTGTGAAAACGGTGAAAATCGTTTCCCTATATAAAAAGGTTTCCATAGGAATGTTTTAATTTTGGATTGCGGAGAAACACACACACATACACACACACATACATACATACATACATACATACATACACTACAGTTCAAAAGTTTGAAGCCACCCCTGGTATTTTTTAAATTAGCCCCTAAAGAAGTTTTGTACATTAAATAAGAGAAAATTATTATACATGGTTAAAAAAAGTGAGACATGATTTTTATTAGAAATTTTATTATGTCGAAAAGAAAAAAAAAAAAATGATTTGCTCTCCTCAAAATATCCTCCTTTAGTCTTGATGACTGCAGCACAGATTCTTGGCATTCGTTGCAAAAGTTTCTCAAAGTATAAATTTGATAATTGATTCCATTCTTTTTTCAATGATTTTAAGAGCTCTTTTTCATTTTTTTTCCATTCTTCTGCTAAGTTCATCTCATGCTAATTGGCGGGTAGTGGTGGCTTCAATCTCTTGAACTGTAGTTTATATATACGCATATATGCACATACATACACACACACACGCACGCACACACACAGAGCGTTCTGGAATTGACGTAAATATGACTTTTTGATGTAAAATAAATCGTTTTTCAATTTTGTAATATTATTCTTTGGAATCTGATGGAATTCATATTTTCAAACCACTATCTGTTAGATTCAAGCGGCTTCAATGAATTATACAGTTCAGATTATTTGTTTTAAAAAGCGTACCATACAATTTCCTTCATTGATTTATGAAGAAGAAATTGAATTTCTTTTTTTCATATAATGAATAAATAGAAATTCTTTTCGGAGCGTGGAAGGTAACACAATTAAAATAAAATAAAAAAGTAAAAATAATAAATAAATAAAATTCTTTATTTTTTTCCCCAACGATCTTTCAGTTTATGCCAGCAAAAAAAAAAGTTCCAAAAGTAAAGGGGAATAACTCTCACGACAGATTGCTTACAGTCTCCATGTTCCAAACACAAATAGCCTCCCTTTAATTTTAGTTCGTGAATTTACCGACATAAATACAAAAGATGGTCGATATTCCTTAGTAACTGTCAACTGAAATAAAATAAAATAAAAAAAAATAAAATATTAAAAAAAAAGATTGTTTTTTTAGTATTGCATTGCAAATACAGCAAATTATACGTGGGTCTTTATAAAAGAAATGTAATTTTTAATATCAAAGAACATAGCCCTCACCACCCCCACTCCACCCCCACTGAAAAGGCCCAGACGAGAAACACATTCGTTATCCTTTGTTGAAGTTTATTCACGCGGCAAAGATTATCCATTATTAATTCATTTAATTTTATTTACATTTTATAAACTTTTCAGATCATAAAATTGTATTTTAAACATTTTAATTAACGATTTAAACAAAGAAAAACTTGTGATCCCTAAACCTAATTCCACAGCCGAATTTCATGGCATTTTCTAAGACAAATAAATATAATAATTATTTTTTTCTTTTATTATATATATATATATATATATATATATATATATATATATATATATAAAAATAAAAAAAAAAACTTTTTTTTCATGAAATTTATGCCAATCGCTAGATGGATAAATTAAAACAACAGTCAGTTTACTATGCTGGTTAGCTAATCCCGGTTGCAGAAACCTGTTCAGGAAAATCCGCAGAACCAACCTGTGGTTTATACTGTAACTATACTGAGCAGACCTTAGTTACAGTTTCTGAGAGAAAGAGAGCGTATTACCTGGCGTGATCAAGAACCTGAACAAGGCCAAGTATGCTCAAACCCTTTTTCACAATACCTTTCGTCGACGTTTTCCGAACTAGGGTCAATATGTGTATGATTTTCAGATGAGAAACGGGGTAGGGGTGAAATACTGTAAGATTATGTAGCATTTTATAACTTTAAAGTAGGTTATATTTGCCACGCGAGTAAACGGGAGGGGTTGTCTCCCCTTTTTTGTATACCTTAAAAAAATGACTATTAAAAATTGCATGATTGAAAGCGGAAAGAATGAAGATCAATAATTATTGACTTTTCTCTGGGATTTGATTGCACCCCGCCGACTGTAATGGCGGGAACGCACACTCTTGAGATAAAACTCATTCTTTCATACGGAACCAATTTCGAATCATTTTAACATTCTCTCCTTCCGTATTGACAAGCATCCAGTCCATCTAAGATAATCTAAGGGAGAGAAATGCTTTATTTTATTGATAAAGTTAAACAATGCTTTTGTTCACTCAGCATGAATACATAAAATTCAATTTTATGTATGTATTTTTTTTTTATTAACCGCCAAAGTTTTCTTTCTTTTTATATTTCTAGTTGTACTCATAGGGGTATTTTATATACTGGCGTAAATTTAATGTTTTATAATATTTGTCACACTTAGCTTCATATTTTAAAAAGCTTTTGTAACCAGCAAAAAAAAAAAAAACAAACAAACTGGCAGCTGGACCGCCACAAGTAGAAAGATGGCGGCTTGGAACGTGTTGTCAGTCGTCATAGGTTATTCGTCAGAATTTGGACAATTAAACATCTTTCCTCTTTAAATCAATGTTAAAATGATTTCGAATTTCTTGACTGAGCACAAAACTGTAAAGTTTCCGTTAAGATAAAACCCTTTGTTTATCTGTGAATAGCATTTTTAATTTACAACCAATTATTTTAAATTCGTGATATTTCTCCGTCAAAAATCGGTGGTTTTATTGTCGCTGATACTTGATGTTTTGAAATGTCGCTTCGACTGGAAGTAAGAGCCTTATTATAATCGTATTTATCTGTTGGGTTTTCACACATACAGTTCCAGCAGAATTCCGCCCAACTGATATCGTCCTTGTTGTTGTTGTTGTTGGTAGTGCTTCCAAAAGAAACATTTCGACTGTCCAAACTGGCCATTTTGCCGAGGGAACTCTTGCTTTCGGTACTGGCTCGACGTAGCGAGGAAGATCGATCCATGAATGATGGACGCTTCATACGAAATGTCCACCGGAAAAGGCGGGACACGTAGTAGACAGTGTTACGACGGATTAAAATGTACACCCAGGGATCCAGAATTTGGTTCAAAGAAGCAAGACGAATGACCAGCAAATCCTTATCAGACATGTCTGTAAATTGATTCATAAATATTTGTAACTGAAAAATAATAAAAAAAAAAGATAAAAAATCTTTTTAGCATTTTATTTTGTCCAAATGAGTTGAGAAGCGGAAATGACATCATTCAAATATAATACCGGAAATGCAAGTGACAGAATGGTTAGCAAAAAGGAAAATGAACCGGACGAGCAGATTTCAAATCCCAAACCAAAGAATATTCACATTACACTGAACAGAAGTATAAGGACCCAAGAGTTCAGTTTTAGAATTGAACCACGAGTCTAGGGAAAGTTATGAATTCCTATTCAGAATTATTAATTGATTTGTTTTTTACGAATTATCAACCCTTTGTGGGTTATTTAAAGCCGAAACATATTTTTGGTTGTAAAAATAACAATTAATTTTGCGACTAAATATAGCATTAACAATTTTTTTTAGAATAACAATGATTTTTCCAGTACTACTAGTTAACCCATAGCTGGGAGGGTCAGAGATGCATTTATACCTTTTCCAAACGTATTTGTGTGAAGTGAATGTAACAAACCTGACTGGAATTCGAACTCGGCTCTTTAGTTTCTCATTTCAAGCCACCATCGATTACACCAACCGTACACCCCCACCTCTAGAATGGTGAGCATTTCCTTCATGAAGCCTAAGGTATGGAAATCAATGCGTCACTTAGAGAAAAATATTCTAAAATATACGACACAATTATTATATTCTTATTGTGAGGTCAACAAATATTCGTTGTCACTTTCGTAATGCTCGTTATAGTAGAGACTTTGTAATCGCAGTTACATCTATAGTAACGCCGTTGTACAACACTGGTGTCAGACGCCTTCGAATATCACTCACACTAATAGTACTTGCTCGATAATACTCGCTCGAATAGTAATCCCTATAGTGATCTGAATAGAGAAATAGTATAGTGAATAGAGTAGAGAATAGCGGTCCGTATAGTAATAGAGGATAGACTAGAAATGGAGATCCGAATAGTAAAAGAGGATAGGCTAGGAATAACGATCGTTAGTCGTCAGCTACTTCCTATGTATATGCGTTTCCTCTCTGGTCACGTGGTCTACTTAATTCAATAATGGGATCGCTTGCGTTTGCTCACTGGCGATCTATGTTCAAACTAAAGTTTCGCCAGCGACTATTTATTTCTATATAACAATTCTCTTTAACAAAATATGAATGTATCCGTGATGCAAAGGTTAGCTTGCTTGCTTGCTTCATTTTCTACGGTTTATCAACCCTTTGCAGGTTATTTAAAGCCGGAAAACATTTTTTTAGGTTGTAAGAATTCTTTTGGAGATAATAATGTTTTTTTAGTGATACATGTCTTACTAATTTAACCCATAGCTGGGGGGAGAAGAGATGGATTCACACCTTTCCAAGGTTATATGTACGTAAGTGCATATAACGAACCCAACGGGAATTGGAACTCGGCTCTATGATTAAAAATTCCGAGCTATTATGCATTATCCAGCATTTAAGCTTACAGCAGCTGGTATTCCCAAAGCCGTCACCCATCCAGGTAATAACCAGGTTCGACATTGCTTAACTTCGGTGATTGTATGGGAACCTGTGTTTCAACATGATGTGTCCCTAAGCCGTAATAGTAGGCGGCCTGGAAGAGTTAAGCTAGTTTAAATAAAAGTGCGGTGTCGAGAGAAAAAAAAAAGAAGCGTCTTTTTGATCCGAAGTCCTATTGCCGGCATGTAAGGCCATGTTTGCCTTATTTTTCTTATACAGAAGAATTTTTTGCAATGTTTAATCTTCGTTCTTTCAAAAAACAACCCCCCACCCCAAAAAAACAAAAAAAAATGGTGTGTCAAAAGAACGGTTCTTGCATTGACATCGTTATTATTTTAACTACCTTCACTCCTTGGCAATGTTTATTCTTTTAAAAAGCGATGATTAGAATTGTAATAAAACCTAAACATATGATGAAAGTGAATTTAGACATTTTCTTTGTTCTTGAGAATTGACAACAGAAGTAATAAACAAGATTAATTTAGACCCCACATTGGCAGATCCTCTATTATTACAAAGTGTAATATTTAATAACAAATGTTGTGAAAATATAAAATCTCTAAATAAAATTGGTTAGATTATATGCCCCAAACATATATTAATGTAAAAAAAGAAGTTAAATTCTCAATGGTTCCTTCTTTCTTTCGTGCGCATGCGTAGTGCCATCAATTAATATATAACATTTTATCACACATTATGAAATGGACAACGTCCGACAATTATTTTAAGACATAATTGTCGGACTTTGTCTATTTCATAATGTGTGACGTCATTTGTTTACATCTGGATACGCATCGAGCAGATATGAATGTACGAGAGAAAATCATGGTGAATTGTAACTTTAAAAACAGTAAAATCGACCTTGGTAACCGAAACGCTCCTCTGTGGCTAAATCGGTAAAAGCACGTCAGGCTATATGACGGTTTCGTATAGGATACAGGTTCGATTACTGTCGGAGGACGCATATTTCTCGGACATTCAGGCCGGTAAATGTAGTTAATACTGTTTATTATAAAAACAGAGCATTTACTTAAATATTTGTATGTATAAAAAGAACGAATAAACGTAAAAAAATGTCTTAAAATGAATTTATATATATATACAAAATGGATTAACTCCAACAATTATATATTTTCTGTTTACATTTTAATAGATACAATTCATCTGTATCTATTTCAAAACAGACCATTTACTTAAATAAATTGTATATATTAAAATAAAGTATGAACAGAATATATATATATATATATATATATATATATATATATATATATTGAACAATAAAAAAAATTAAAATCTTCAAACACACTGGGTTGTAGATTAATATTCTTTTTTTTTTTATTATTATTTCATTTAGACTCCTCGACTAGTTTCGGCCAAAATAGCCACCATATATATATATATATATATATATATATATATATATATATATATATATATATGGGGAAAATGAAAATGACAAAATGGAAGAAGTTTACTTCAGACGCGTTTTGTCCTTCGGGAATTCCTCGGACTAAAGTTGTTATGTTCGTACGACTACGCATGCGCACGACGGAGGGGTGCTGGAGATTTTAGAAACTTTTTTTAAATATCAAGCCGAATTCGTTTAAATTTTTTTCTTCTTTCCATCACTTTTGTTAGTAGATATACTCCTCCCCACTCCGACTATGATAATAGAAGATCTGCCAGGAATGGTGAAATGTGGTCAGAGTTGAGGCGCAAATTTACTGAAGATGACTGCAATCAAGGCACTCTCTAGACATTTACATCGTTTTCTAAAAATAAATTCTAAAATCGCCAGCATCCCTCGTTCGTGCGCATGTGTCGTCGTTCAAACGCAACAAATTTAGTCCGATGAAATTCTGAAGGACGAAAAGCGTCACAAGTAAAATTTTTCAATTTAGTCATATATTTTTACCAGCATTGTTCTTGATATATTAAATATATATTATTTCTCTCTCTCTCTTTCTCTCTGTCTACCTCTCTCTCTCTCTCACACACACACACACATATACATATATATATATATATGGGAGAATATAATATATGAACTCTGTATATCAGACACATATCACACAGCATATCACCTTTCTTAACCAAATTACAATGTGGGACATTTCAAAACGATGGCGATAACAAAACTGAATGAAGTCGGCTAGGCTGTGCATCGGAAGCCAGAAATTTAAAATTTAAAGTTAAGCGTCTCTGGTTCTTCAGCATTGCTCTCGTATATAGAATTACAGTCAATGCTTATTGCATCTTGTTCGCACCTCCTTTCTATATAATATTCTATCAATAAAGATATTGTTTAGTCTGAAGAAGTCCTTTCGAATGTCGAAACACGTAACTTAAGAATTATTTTTACATTTTGTTATTCAATTAGCCACTATTACTCTGATAGCAATTGCAGCGACTCATGGACAATTTTTTCAAAAGCCTTCAGTTTGAAGAAAACCAACGCGATAGGACAAGGCGTTGAACAGCCACCCGCCATCAAAATCAACAACTGCGACCTGGGGGTGGTTCATGAATTCACATACCTCGGCTCCACAGTTTTAGACACCCTCTCCCGAGACACTGAGGTCAAGGATCGGACAAGTTGCCACCACATTTACCAGGTTGATTTCTAAAGTCTGGGAGAACAGAAAGTTTACTACGACCACTAACATTGCAGTCTACAGGACATGCGTCGTCAGTGTACTTTTCTACGGCAGCGTGACTTGGAGCCTCGACTCAAGACAGGAGCTACACCTCAGCGCATTTTATCTTGGTTGTCGGAGACGCATTCTGGGCATCAATTGGTCTGACCGGGTCACCAATGCTTGGGCCCAGTTACCCAGCCTATATGCCTTACCCCAAGAGCGCCGACTCCGATGGCTTGGGTATGTAGACCATATGCCGATTGGGATGATTCTTCTGTACGGGGAACTGGCCACCGGCAAGAGGACGACCTCATCTTCGCTTTAAGGACGTCTGAAAAAGGGACATGGGAGCGACGAACATGAATATCAAAAGGTGGGAAGACGTCGTTTATGCTGAATACGCGATTTACACCGAGGGCTAGAGCGAGAAGAAAACGGATAGAAACGGAGGCTTGCCGCCGGATTGAAACGTGCTTGATGGAAAGCGTGTAAATTACTCTTTTTGAGTAATTTCACGTTTTCTTATCATCTCTCAGTTGTGCTCAGGGGCTTCTCTGTCAAAGGACAGAGGGGCAACCGAGGAAAATAATACTGAAGAGGTGCACAGCCCTGGGGAACAACTGTCCGAGGCCGCGCCCCACCCCAATGCGCCAGAGGGAGGGATCAGTGCTCGACGATTGCGGGGGCTGAGTGGAATTTTTGTTCCTATCCCGGGCGTACGCGCTCGTGTCCCCAACTAAAAATAGACCTTGTGTCACATCTCGTCCTAGAGGGGGGACAGAGTAAATACCGCGTGCTTAACGGAAAGAAAATAACTAGGCTATGTTGTGACTGTTACTCCTGTGTGGGCCTGTACAGCCATAACAAATGCTGCATCACTATCAGCTGTTGAGGCTTAACTCTTTGGGCGCGGATCTAATGTTTGTTGAGACCAACGGATGCTACACACATACACTCTGATATACAGAGCTGCATATCACACACACACACACACACACACACACACACACACACACACACACACACACACACACACACACACACACACACATTTTTAAACACGTTAACGGTTGTTTAGCATCTTTTAAAGATTCCAAACGCTACCAATTCTTACCATCAAAGGAAGATAACAAGTTGTGAATATGCATGTAATAGAGATCAACTGGAGCACCATTTGAATTTCTGTGTAGCGTCGATTGTTACCGAGTCTGCGCAGCCGACCGGAACCGGAACTAATTACTGTTTGCTTACAGCGAACATGGATAAGTTTTCGAATGACGACAATATTAAGGATTACTGTAGAGAAAATGGTTGTAATTCCGAGCAGGCTGTAGATGAAACTGAAGATCACATCCGCTCGGGCATTACTGTAGTAATTAAAGAAACACCAAGTACCTAGAAAAGAAGAAATAGGTTTTAAAATAAGAACATTACTCTAGTTTAACAACAGTTTCCCAGGTACACGCTCCTGGAGGATAAGACTTGAATAAAACAGCTGATTAAATTGAACTGCTAATGATAAACTCGAGTACAGTTCTGGGAATAACGATGGCGAAGAATGAAATCAAATAAAACCAAAGAATAAAAACTAATAATTTAAATTCTACCTCTTTTTACTAAAATGCTAGAAGCCCTAATCAACTTTGAATTGGTTATGCATCTCTCATAGTAAGGTCTTCTTCCAGGTAAGCAATAAGGCTTTTGTTTTTCAAGGACACCTCTTGATGTTTTAACGATTATTGCTGAAAAAGTCTATCAAGCTTTAGAAAACAATGGTGAAGTTTGGCCTGTTGTTTTGGATATCTGGAAAACAGTTGACAATTCACAGGTTGAAAGGTTATGGGTATTCCTGAACGACTTCTTGAACTGATTCTATCTTTCTTATGAAATCATAAAATGAAAGTTATCCTGAACAGCCATTTTTCTGTATAGAATTTTTAAAATATTTTCTATTCGTTTGATTTAAACGTTACTATTTTCAAATTTAAAGTTAGTGTTCCATTTTGAGAGTTACTATTCTCAAATTGAATGTGAAAAGATACAGATTTTTCTGCATTAATAGAGGTGTCACCCAGGGTTTTATCCTTAGACCTACGTTGCTCCTAATTTTAGTCGGTGTCTATGAAGATGACACAACTATTTACTCCTGTCTTAATAGTAACTCTGATCAGTTCGATCAAGTCAAATTGGCAGCTAATCACAAAAATCGACCTATAAAGTGCTGTTAAAGAATGGTTTGTTAATTTGAACACCCCCAAAATGGAACATACTCTCTGTCAATCATTTGAGAGACTACTTTCTGCTTTCCATTAGTTGAAAGGTTATAGTATATCTGGATGAATGTTTGACCTGTTTTTTTCCTCCTAAATAGCAATTCTTTAAGATTCTTTTGTGCTAATGCAGTTGTCACCCAGGGCTCTATCCTTGGATCTATGTTGCTAATAATTTTCATAAATGACCCTTCTGATGTCACCTGTTATCAGCTCGGTATCTATGCTGATGACACAACTATTTACTCCGGTCTTAATAATAAGGCTGAGCGGTTCGATAAGGTCAAACTGGCAGCTGATCTACAAAATGACACATAATTTGTTGTTAATTGAGGCAAGGAATGGCTTGTTAATTTTAACGCCTCCAAAATGAAATACACTTTCTATCAGTCATTTGTGAGCCTCCTTTCTGCCTTTCATCAGCATGGCTGATTTTAACATTCAGGAGAGTAACTTGTTGGGCCTTCTCGGATTAACATTTTCCGTTGACATGAAGTGGAAAGATTATATATCAAGATCAAATTTGACTGGAAAGCAAGAAACCAGAAGACAGTTCCACAAGCCAGAAGTGCGAGAGAAAAAACTGTTCGCATAAAACCTACGGTTACATTTAGCAGATTTAACTGCAAAACGATGACACCTAGCTGGCAATCAGGTACTGTGCTTAAACTCTTAAAGTCTACATACCAAAGATGAAAGCTCTTCAGAACAATTACCATGAAAATACTTATAGAAGATACGTCATTACAGTGGGAAAGTGACTGAAGCCGAGATGTCAGCTTAGGGCCGATAAAATTGCAGATTTTTGGATTTTATCAAAAATAACTAAATACATAGAAGCAAAAGACCAAAATGAGGCATCAATATTCAAAGTAAGGACGAATAGTAGAATTATAAATGTGTAAGAAAAATTGTCCAGCCTGACACAGTGAACCAACTTTCCCAGCAGCAGACCTAGCAATGGATTCAATATAAGCTTTCCACTTTATATCAGCCGTAAACGTTAACCCAAGAAGGCGGAATGTCACTCTCTTGGGGGTTATCATCAGCCATACTGATGGAAGGTAAAACGTGTCCTCTCAAAAGATTAAAAAGAGCAGTTATGTTTTGGAGGCGCTAAAATGAACATGCTATTTCATGCCGTAGCTAACAACAGATCGTAGGAGATTTTTTGTGATCAGCTGCTAATTTGACCTAATCGAACCAATCAGGCCTACCATTAAGACAGGAGTAAATCGATGTGTCATTAACATAGACACCGAGTTGATAACTGATGACATTGTGAAGGGTGTTGATGAAAATCAGGAACAAAGATAGAGCCATGGTGGACACTCGCATTAATGCAAAAAGATCTAGAAGAGTGGCCGTTCAAGACAACATTCATTTCGGGATTGGATAAGAGAGATTGAATCAGAGCAAAAAGTCGTCCAGAAATATTATAACCTTTCAACTTGTGAAGAAGATCAGCATGCCAAACCCGAGTGATCTCAAATAGGCGCCTGTTGTCGTAGAAACTTTTAAGTTGGTACAGTCGGAAGAAGTGATTCCTGTAGGCCATAGCGGCTTAATATGCAGGCGTGAGCCAAGGAGAAGATTGTGCTTTCACCTGGTCTTTCTGAGAAGGCACAAAGGCAATGATGCTAACTTTGAGTCAAGAAGAATTCTCAGTGGCACAATTCTTAATAGGAAGGTGAAAATATTCCCTCCAACGAGAACCGCGAAGACAGTTACGAAATGAATCCCAGTTAGTAGGTTGGTAAAAGAAAGAAGTTCTGTAAAAAGAATGTTAATGTCTAAGAGATGATCCAAAAGAAATATCAACAGATACTACAAAAGGATCCGAATTGCCAAGCGATACTCGATAAGAGTCAAGAGAGGAGGTAAGGAACACAAATCTAATAATGAAGCATGTTGATCAGAATTATGAGAGAAATGAGTAGGGGAATTCATTATTTGGGGAAATTCTTAGTAAAGGAATTCATTATTAGGGAAATAGTTGAATCTGTTATTTGGAGAAATTATAAGTAAGGGAATTCATTACTTAGGGAAATTATTAGTAACGGAATCCATTTTTTGGTGGAATTATTCGTAAGAGAATCCATTATAAGAGAAATGAGTTATGGGTTCATTATTAGGGAAATTTTAAGTAGTGAGTCCATTATTATGAAAAATGAGTACTGGAAACCATTATTTAGGGAAATTATTAGTAAGGTAATTCACTATTTTTGAAAAATTATTAGTATTGGAATCCATTATTTGGGGGAATAATTATTAGGGGAATCCATTTATAAAGTTGTGGATCCATTGTTTGAGGAAATTGTTATTCTCTGAATTTACAAGAGCCAGATAAGATCGAAAATGGGGTACTGGTACCATATATGGGGTATGAGCTGCCCAGTCCTCACTTTCCAATCTCGATAGAGTTGAAAGGTGTCTCCGCCTCCTTGTGGGTGATGAATTATTCCCACCCTACAACCCCTTTCGCTCAGTCGGAACGCTACAAGCCTCTCACCACTCTATTGCTATTTTCATGGAAAGTGCTCAAACGAGCTACATTCCTTAGTTCCTCCTGTTCTAACTTTCACGGCTATACCCACCATGCTAGGCACATTAAAGCGAACCACATTCATTCCCTTCGTCTTTGATTGGTGACTGTCTTCCCATACTTTGTGAAATTGACTCCCAAGAGGGTGCTTCCCCGACCTCTACTCTCTTAACCTGTTAAAGTCTAGAGTTAACCGTTATCCCCATAAAATATACCTCTTACCTATTATTGTGTAACCCTCTACATCGAGTGGCTCTTGGGCCTTGAACAGGGTGAACATCATTGTAAAAAAATACAAACCTGAGTCTGCTGGCATACTGTCTTTGTTTATATGTAAACAACAAAAATATCACAAATATTAATTACCTTGATTTTTACGAGCGGATCAGTCAACCTCAGTATTGTTCCGAAATACTAAATACTGTTTGAAGCTGAGCCAGAAGGGAGTTCCACAAGCAAGGCAGTAAAGCCACTAAGACACAGGGGGGTTACTGGGTGTGGAAAAATTAGGAACAGAAACATTCATAATGAGTGGGAAGAGGAAAGAGTAATCAGGAGGACAGTAGATAGCGATTGACATTTCTTTTAAATATTTGAAGATTAAAGTTGGCTGGAAAGCATGGAGCCAGAAGGGAGTTCCACAAGCAAGGTAGTAAAGCCACTAAGACACAAGGAGTTTACTGGGTGTGGAAGAATTAGGAACAGAAACATTAATAACACAGACACTAGACCATATGCAGCAGGAGTATTCTAAGTATGGACGATACTGTTTGAATCTAAATACTAAATACTATTTGAATGTAAATAGTATTTGAAATACTAAGACATTGGTATCTAGTCAATATCGAGCAACAAGATGAAAGGGAAAAGGAAATACATTTACCTGGTTTCATAATTTTGTACGATCCAAGTCCCATGAATGGAAGGCTGGCAATAGTAACGGAGCCGACCCAACAGAAAAGTAAAGCAATACGTGTGTAGCCACGCATTGGCTGAGTGTAATAATAACACGGCTGATTAATGCAAAAGTAACGTTCAATCGCCATAGTGCAGATTATAAATTGGGTAGCAAAGCCTGCAAGTACCATCATGAAGGCAAAATATAGGCACAGAACCGGTTGACACGGCATCTGAAAAGAATAAAAGATTAAAAAACTATTATCATTATAGCATTTTTAGGTTAGTCAAGTTCAGTAAAACGTCGAGAACATAACATAGAAAGCATTAAAAGAAGGGCATACTTCCGCCAATACTATAGCCGCTAAAATTTGAAGGCAGGCAGGATGCCACTAGTATGCAGGGGGTTACAGTGTGGGGGCGAGTGTAAAGAGGTGTGATAGAGGAAAGGATGAAGAGAAGGGCAGGGGATAGTTCAGGGCATCTGGAGATGTCGATTGACATTATATTTGAATAGTTGGAGATTATAGCTATCAGGGAAACAAGTAATAGAAAGGGAATTCCACAGACGGGAGGTGCGAGACATGAAGCTATTGGAGTAGAAGAGACGGCCATATTTAACAGTTTCGACAGTGAAAGGGTGGGACCGAGATGCCAACCTAGTAGCACGTTTAAATTCATACAGTCTGGGAACCAGCGATAGTAGCTGGTCGGAGCAGTTACCGTGAAAGTATTTGTAGAAAAGACAGAGGGAGGCGACGGCCTGTCTGTGAGAGAAGGACTGCAGACGAGATGCCAGATCAGGACCAATGACATTGCATATCCGTCTCTGGATCTTTTCAAGGACCTTAAGGCGAACAGCGGGACACCAGACCATACATGAGTTAGAATGTCGTGACAATTATTATTATTATTATTATTATTATCATCATCATTATTATTATTATTATTTATATTATTATTATTATTATTATTCGTCGTCGTCAATAGGAGTAGATAGGTTCGCCTTTCGTACGGTTCACACTCTTCCCCAGTTTTTTGAGCAGGAGTAGAGTTTTATCTCTTGTTTCCTATTTAGAATTGGCTTTCCGGTTCCTTCTAAAGGCTTTTCCTCATTTAACTGTTTAGCTCGAGTGAGCCTCTTACAAGGCGAATATCACCGCGAAAAAATGTGCCGTGCCCCTTCAGGACGATGGCGATCATGGTTCTCCACAATTTCCTTTCTTTTGTAAGTCTTAACAAATATTGTCTTTTTATCTCTCCTAAACCCTGTTCCGCCATCCATTTACTCAAGCTCTCTAGGTAGGTTGTGCATTGTTTTCCTTTGTCCCTCTTGTCTTCAATCTCTCCTGTGAGTATCAAATTTTCCAATCCCATTTTCCTCATTATGTCCACCGGAATTGTCAACTGTGTCTTCCTGATGTTAAGTTCCTGGTTTATGTTTCCATTTTCTCTAAAACTTTATCGTTATTTTGGTCAATGGTTTTCTCAGCATCCTTCTGTAGAACATGTGTAGTTCTTCTACTATGTGCCGTTTCCTCCCAGGACGTCAGTGATCATGGCTCTCCACAATTTCCTGCTCTGTCGTGTGAGTATCAAAATTTCCAAGCTCTCCTTCCTCATTATGTACCCCAGGAATTTTAACTGCCTCTTCCTGATATTAAGTAAAAGTCTCCTTTTTGTTATCATTGTCTCTAGAACTTCCTCATTGCTCACATGTTCGGTCCATGGTATTCTTACCATCTTGATAATTATTCATCAGAAGCATGTCATAAAAAACAACAACAGATTAACATGGCTGACTTGGCTGAGGTAGTAATGGTGAACAAAAAGGCAATTTTTCAACATATGCTTATAATAATCGAGACAGATAAGATTTAGAGGCGATAAACATGTGAGTTTCAATTTTTCAACATATGTCGGAATCTCGTGTTCATAAAAAAAAATTTAGTGTCAAAAATAATTTTATTAAAATGATTATAACAATTATAATTATCATTAATTAATTCTTCCTAGACCAATGAGTGTCGACTCCACTTTTTCTACAGACACAAAAACGTGACACTCTCACTATCGCGCAGTCAGTTAACACGTGGGTCAACGAAGATTTCGGCTCCTTTCCTTTTTCAGGCTATAATGGTAGCATTTATCTCTTAATACTCAACATTATCTGGCCACACATTAGACTCTTTTTAAAAAAGAAATCATAAGAGGAAGACTGTATACATTTTGTTTATTCTTTATCTTATCCTTCAGTCAGATTCCGATCTATATTTGAGCTACATTTGATCCCAACTCATTATTCTCTCTCATGTCTTCAACACCTCATAAAAACCAGATAATAAAGAAAATTCGTTTTTTTTTGTTTTCACGTCTTGCTCTTTCTCATTTTTACAAGTATTTTTGCATATATAAATGTGCAAATTGTGCAAATTAATTGAAACAGCCGTTTTAGTTTCCTTTCTTTCACCATACGCTCAGTTTTACACCCACTGAAGTGACCGGATATAATCGATTTCTATTGTTTTCCTCAGATTAGGTCATTTGCAGGGGTGTGCAGTAATATGAATCTATTTTCAGGGTGTATGATAAAATTTATTTGGCCTTGAAAAATATTGCGTAATTCATGATTGCATCAGATTTTTATAATGGCCAGGCACTATTGTCTCGACTGTCGATTAGTTGTCCTATGGCCATTGTCTTCAGTGAACATTACTCCAAGGAAACACACGAAAATTGTAACGCTGCACAAACACACTGGCAAACCTTACCAGTGAGCTAATCAAAGTACTATAGACTGGTTTGGAAACTCTCCTGATTTAAATCCAATCGAAAATCTGTGGCCAATCTGCAAGGAACGACTTCGTGAGATGGACATACGAAATACTAACATCTGCAATGGGTCATGTTTCATTAGAAAAATACGAAAAAAGTAAATAATAACGGAATTATTCGTTTTGTTTCAATTAATTTGCACAAAATTGTATAATTATATATTCAGAGTTATAAGTCCCTCACAAAACATTTGTTATATGAAACTTTATTCAATCGAAAAAAAATTCTTGAAGCTTATAGTTCATATTTCCACAAAATATCACTAAGAACAGACAAATATGTATGACGTCATAACGTTTGCCTAAATTCGTTGGCAATGTTAAAAGTCACAACAATAATCACTGTTTGAAGTTACCATAAAACTGAAAACATCTTAACTGGTGGAACTAAAGAATTTAATTCTTCAGAAGATTTTTCATGGAAATATTGGTAAAGTAGCGATAGGCTTTCGACGTTACGTCTGTAGGGAAATGGTTTTAGGGCGGGAAATAACTAATCACCTCGTAAAAACTTTTCAACTCTGCTAGAGGTCGGACGGAGAGCATTGGGTAACCCGAGGCCAGATATGGCAGCCAGTACTCCATTTTTGATCTGATCTGATTTAGATAGAATAGATGGGTTCCATTTTTCCAGGATCTTTAACGAGGGATCGTATATATGAGTTTCTACTTGAGGTGCAGATGTGCTATACCTTTTTCAGCTTTATATCCATTTAGGGCTCTACAGAAGAAGAATAATCTCGTTCAATTTATCGATCTCAAATTTTGGATATTATTTACTGGCTAAATTAATAAAAAGTTGTTTTAATTTAGACAATATCACCTTGTTTTTCAAAGCGTTGGGGATCATAGCTGTCCACAACTTCCTTTATTTTGTTACCCTAAATAACCATTAACTTTGTCCTTGTTCTGCCCTCAATTCACACAGCTTCATTAAGTTACTCACTGTTCCCCCCACCGCCTTCTCTTGCTTTTACTGTTTCCTGTGAATGCCAAATTCTCCAAGCACTCTTTCCTCATTATATATCCCAGAAATTTCAGGTGTCTCTTTCTGATCGTAAAGTTTCTTTATTTTCTGTCTGAATTTCTGGGTCAGTTATCATTATTTACAGGATTTATATTCGGACTATTGTCCTCATCTTTGTTGTAGTTATCACTACGTTTGGAGGGGAAGGAATAGTCATCAGCCTGTGTGGAATGAAGTGGAAATACTGGGTAAGGAAGAACCCTGGAGTTAGACGCCTGAAAGACTCAGCATATATGCTAGCCTATGAGGATCCCCTTAGTTGGCCTAGCGTAGAAATAAATACAATATGGGAGCCGTTAATAAAGAAAAAAAGACAAATAACAGCAAGGCTTTAACAGCAGCAGCAGTGAACATAATGACAGGCAGCAGCAGTCAGTAGTAGCAACATTAATCAGCAGACAGGTTAGGTTTAAGTCTCCAAACTCAAACAGCGAATTCTTCTACGGGTCAATAGCTGAGTGAATTAAAGTGTTGGTTCGTGAATTTGGTGACATATTAATTGTGAGTTCAATCCATGGGTTGGAAATATGTCCTTGGAGTTTGTGGAAACGGGCGAGCAATAATTGAGCAGTACTAAAAATGAGAACTAGACGGGATATCCATGGATATGGTTTGCTGGTTTTCCGACCAACTTTGAACTTTAAAAATATAAATGCAATATCATTCGTTGTCTTCTGTCTTCTTATTTCCTCTTCTTTTATTGTTATTTCTCCTTAATAATGTTTTCCTTTTCTCTTATTCTTTCACACTCAGTAAACCCTTGCATCTTAGTGGCTTTATTACCTTGCTTGGAGTGTAATGATTTTAAAATTTCTTCCCG